GTCACCTTCTGGAGACAGTGAGGGAGGCCTCAGGAGTCCAAAGCCTCGAGGGCACAGCCCCACCCTCCCTTGCAAGGCTGACCACAGGAGGAGCCTGGAAGGCCCAGCCAGAGCCTGAGTAGGCCAGGCCACCAGTTGCAAGGCTGGAGGTCTGCACTCCCCCAATGGGAAGGGTGGATGGAGGCTGGGAGGAGACAGATTTCTCTCTGAATCACCTAGAAAATGTACCAACTCCAGGTGTCACCTCAGGTGTCAAGTCTTCAGATACTTCCTGGCCTCCTGGCCCTTCACCCCACTTGACCCTTTGAGTCATCTGCCAAATATTTCCTCTTTGGAGGGAATTTTGCATTAAGGAAAGAAATTGTCTCAGGAGCCAGGAGAGTCCAATCTGGCTAAATGAGGAACTGGGACTGGGCTCTAGGAATTTTTCCCAGTTCTTCCCCTAAAGGGACTATCCTTGAAACTCACTCAACACACATTTATCAAGTGCTGGCTCCATGCCAGGCAGGAAGCAGGTGCTAAGTACATGAGGGCAAGAGAGAAAGACTGGGCTCCCCCACTCCTGGAGCTCATGATAACTTGTGGAAGTCACTCTTTCCCCATCTGTGAGACAGATCGATCCCAGTCTTGCCCAAGCCCACCCATGGGGATACAAGGATGCAGGAGGCCCTCCAGCCATCATGGCACACCAGCCATTGTGGCACACCTGTGCAGGCTGAGGAGGAGGGACAAGGTGAACCGGCCACAGGGGACCCTGCCCTGGAGAAGACTGCCTTACTTGCAGTAACCCGCCTTTCATTTTAGCTTTCTTTTTTTTTTTTTTAATTTTTTTTATTTATTTACGATAGTCATAGAGAGAGAGAGAAAGGCAGAGACACAGGCAGAGGGAGAAGCAGGCTCCATGCACTGGGAGCCCTACGTGGGATTCGATCCCAGGTCTCCAGGATCACGCCCTGGGCCAAAGGCAGGCGCTAAACCGCTGCGCCACCCAGGGATCCCCCGCCTTTCGTTTTAGAGGGATCCTGAGCCTGGGCACCTGCACCGTGTGTGTGTGTGTGTGTGTGTGTGTGTGTGTGTGTGTGACAGCATGAGCGTGTAAGAGCACAAACAGGTATGTGAACAGGTGTGCATATAGGTGTGAAACATGACTGGGCGAACGTGTGAGGTATGCGGGTTTGAAGTGTGTGAGTGAATGGGAGAGCTTAGGGCCCAGGGAAGGTATGTTGCAAGGGACAAGGCAAGAGTGAGGCATAAAGCTGAGGTGTGTGAGTTGTGTGAGCATGGATGATTATGTGAGTGTGAATATGCAACCGTGCATGCAAAGTGTGCGCAGGAGTGGGGGGTATGTGGGTGTGTGAGATAAATATGTGTGGCTGTGAGTGGTCAGAGAAAATGTAAGCATAAGGTGTGTGCGTGTGAGCGTGAGCTCATGCTTGTGAGGGCTGGCTGGCCCAGAGCATGCTGGGTGCGGTAGCAAGCAGCTCATCTGGTGTGAAATGCCAACTGCATGTGATCCACAAAGAGCTCGCTCACTCTTGGGAAGAGGCAAGACTTTGGCCTCCGGGTTGTGGACAATGGCTTCTTCGTGCTCTGCTCTGCGCCATCAGGAACACGGGCCCTGGGGGGACTCTGAGCCAGGCGCGCGCAGCTGCCTGGGGAGCTCAGCTGAACTGGAAGATTTAGAAAAACAGCCGAGAGTTTAAGCCATTAAAACAAAGGGTCATATCATGATGGAGAAGGCAAACTCTGCATGAATTAACACAGGACACTGGAGGCATTTTGCCCTTGCAGCCAGCTGGCCTGTCACCCTTTCTCCAGAGATCACCTCTCCATCCATCACTCCTTCACTGTGGGTGGGGATGGTTGAGGCATAGCACTTGGTTTAACCTTCCTCAAACCCTTCTTCCCCGGCAACAATCTGCTATTCGAGGTCTATACAGACTCCAACTTGCCTCCTGACCTCTTTTCACACTACTCCCCACTCCTGGGTGCACTTGGCACCCCACGTCTCCCTCCCTTGGAGGCCCAGTTATAATAGCAGTCTCCTCCAGGAAGTCTCCCCAGATTAGCTCAGTCCTCCGGGGACTCTTACCCTTCCTGCCTCACTCATCTATCCATTGCATGGTGTTATGAGTTGAGTTGTGTCCCCCCCCCCCCAAAGATATGTTGGTGTCGTAACCTCTGGTATCTGCAAATGTGACTTTTTTTAGGGCCTTTGCAGATGTCATCAAGTTAAGACAGGTCAGCTGGGGTTAGGATAGCCGTGATCCAGTGACTGATGTCCTTAGAAAATCAGAGAAATTTGGACACAGATGCACAGGAGAGGCCAAATGGGGACAGAGGTGGAGGTTGGAGTTATGTGACCACAAGCCCAGGAACAGCAAGAATTGCTGGGAGCCACTAGAAGCTGAAAGGTAAGAAGAATTGCGAGAGAGTCCATTTCTGTGGCTTTAAGCCACCGGTTTATGGTATCTGGTCTCAGCAGCCTTAGGAAGGGAATGCAAAAGGCAACTTTTATCTTGCCCGACCTGCCTGGGTCCTTGATGTGCCCACCTCTGGCTCTCCCCGCCCGGTACTGCCTCGAGCCAGCCATTCTGCAGCTCCTTAACTCCCACAGGGAGCTCCTGCCTACGCAAGCAAATGATCCCATCCAGGGGCCAGGGGATGCGTCCTGTTCTCTAGAGCTGGAGGCCTTTCAGCTCAAGGTTTTGGTCCGTTCTGTTAGCCCCCTGGTGGCACGGCTGGATGACTGACCTTTGGGGCCACGCCTCTTACCAGAGCCCAGAGGCGTCTTGTGCTCTTCCCAGCTGGGTTAGAATTCCCCCCACTTAGAAGCTGAGCCCCCTGGTCAGCCATGGGGTCTCTGAGGCTCACTTTCTTCTTCTGGAAGACCAGGGTTGGAAATGGCAAACCCTAACCCACCTCCCGTGCGAGGTCTTGGACAACCAGAAGGCTCAATGCAAATGCAAGAGATTACTAGGGAAATAGTCTGGAGGATGTGAAACAACGGAGGGGAGGGACTTGGTTACTCTCTGTGGTCCCAAACCCTCCTGGTGCTTGATGGCCCAGCAAAGGGACCTTCCTTCAGACCAGAGGAGGTCTGGAGAGTGTGGCCCCGGGGGTTTTTTCCAAGGGCTCCAACCCCAGTTGGGGTTCTCGTTTTAGACGAACTCGGGCTATTCTGTGTTCCACTGGTACAGATCTGCTCGGGAAGCCTGCCCATTTAAGATCCTTAAGCACCGATCTCCCATCTGGATAAAGTCCATAGCAAGGCATGGGAGGCCTTCCTTGATCTGCCCTGCCTGCATTTCCAGCCCCTAGAATTTCGCAATGTGCTTGCTGTACCCCAAATCAGCCAAACCCTTTGCCCCCAAGTGGCTCGCAAATACCTACATCTCCTTCAACAAGAAAAATTAGAATTCAGCTCCTCACCTAATTTACAGGAATCGTTTTGCTTATCGTGGGTTTCTTTGTACCTCTTAGTGAGCACTTATTTTGCCCATTTCACAAATAAAGAGACTGAGACTTAGGTCTCAGTACCCCCATGTACCCACGGTCAATAGCACGCGGCAATCGTGATTTGCACCCATCTCTCTCTCTCTCTCTCTCTCTCCCCTCACTTCAAAGCCTGGGATCATCCTCCTCTGCCTGGCTGGTCTACCTCTTCTTCCAAAGTGCAGTCTGACGTTTTCTGCAAACTACCCTGACACCCCCAGTTCTTCTCGGCTCTCTGTACACACCATGGGTGGAGGGCCTCTGGATGGCACTAGCAAAGGCCTCACACTTATCTCATCAAATGGAAATGCAGATCTAGTCCCTGGTCTCTCCCAAGATTGCAACTGCCCCAAGGGCAGGAATGTCGTGTCTAATGCCAGGCACATAATATGTGTCCAATGTCAAACAATGCTTTGGAGCAGCCCGTGGAATGAAAAGGCTAGAAAGGAGCTTTTCTGGGACATAAATGTAGGAATATTCTATGCGCATTTCTCATTAAGGAGCTCTTTTGAATCTCTGCTAATCCTCCAACTCGTTCAACAACCTCCGTCTTTCCAAGTTTGACATTTTGAACCCCTTACAGAGTAGAGCAGAGTCGATTTCCTTGCCTCCTCTGTGTGGCAGAGGCACAGCGGTGCGGTGGTCTGAACATTTGAAATCAGACAATGGCTCAGTCACTTACTAGCTCAGGACCTTTGACAAGTTATGTGATCTCTTCCAGCCTCGGCTTTCTCATCTGCAAAATGGGGAACTCCTTACCTCATGGAGCTGATCTAAGGATCCAGGTGAGGGCTTTACCACCTTTTTAGATGGTACGACTCTTGCTCTTGCTCTACAGATTGAGAGAGGATGATGAGAAAGGGACCTTTCCAGAAAGGGATGGCGACAGGAAAGCCTGTTGGGGCAAGGGGGAGGCGGGGGAGGGAAGGAGTGAGGCCTAGAGCCAGGCCATCTCACCCCAGACCCTGAGCTGCCTCCATGGCACCCTGAGGTGCAGACCCTGTGGTTTACCACTGACATGCCCTGTTTCCCTAGCTCAGTGAGGCAACCCCAAAGTCTTCTCAGAATGGGCCTCCCAGAGGTGAGCCCTAAGCAGCTCTTAGTTTCCCTTGTAGGTTCTTTTTTTTTTTTTTTAATATTTTATTTGTTTATTCATGAGAGAGAGAGAGAGAGAGAGAGAGGCAGAGACACAGGCAGAGGGAGAAGCAGGCTCCATGCGGGGAGCCCAACGCAGGACTCGATCCCGGGACTCCAGGATCATGCCCTGGGCCGAAGGTGGTGCTAAACCACTGAGCCACCCAGGGATCCCTCCCTCGTAGGTTCTGGTGACTAGTCCCCCATTCTCATAATGGGAAGAACCTTTTCCAGGTTGACTGCTCCAGCATTAAACTGTCTCAATCCCATCCATGGATCTGGTACCATTTTGTGTGCTTGGAAAGCCCCTTCCTCCAACACACACACACACACACACTCACACACTTGGGCTTAGGCTTGTCTAGGAAAGCTTCTCTTTGTAAACTCCTTTCTCAGGGAGGGTGGAAGGGGGAAGGGGGAGGCCAAATCAGGGCTGGACTTGGGAGGGGCTTCCCTAACAGGCTGCTTCATCCTCACAGGATCTGTAGCTCTTCCAGCACCTTCCTCTAACAGTTGCTTCAACAACTAACAGAACTAAGATCGGGCTGTCCAGAAGCAGTAGGGAAGGCCCCCCCTCCCTGCAGGCGGCTCACCAGGGCCCCCGGGGGTCACCCGTCGCCTCCAGCTTGTGTAAGAAGGCCAGACTGGGTCAGCAGGGGGCAGCACCTTCTTGGGCTGGAGGAAGGCAGGCCCTGGCTCCTTAAAGACCCAGGTTCCACCTGTCTGGGAAGGCACAAGGGATCTTCCAGGAGGCTCCCCCTGAGCTCTGAGTCCCTGGCAGGCCAGGCGTCCGCCTCTGTTCCTGAGTCACACCATCGCATAGTAAGTGCTGTCTGACCCCCTGCAGCCCTTCCCAGGGCAGGTTTTCTTTGTATCCCTGGTGCTGGTACAATTTTTAAAAACAACTAGGGTGGTGGTGGTGGTGGTGGTGGTGGGGGCACCTGGGTGGCTCAGCGGTTTAGCGACGCCTTCAGCCCAGGGTGTGGTCCTGGAGTCCCGGGATCGAGTCCCATGTCGGGCTCCCTGCATGGAGCCTGCTTCTCCCTCTGCCTGTGTGTCTCTGTCTCTCTTTCTGTCTCTGTGTCTCTCATGAGTAAATAAATAAAATCTTAAAAACAACAACAACAACAACAACTAGGGTGGTGGTGGGGGCACCTGGGTGGCTCAGTTGGTTAAGTGTCTGCCTTCGGCTCAGGTCGCGCGATCTTGGGGTCCTGGGATTGAGCCCCACATTGGATTCCCAGCTCAGCAGGGAGTCTGCTTCTCCCTCTCTTTCTGCCTGCCACTCCCCTTGCTGTGCTTTCTCTCTTGCTGTCAAATAAATAAAAAAAAAATCTTTTTTTTTAAATAAAAATAACTGGGAATCAGAAAGAGGTGCTCTACAAGAGTCAAGTCTTTAAGTCCATGAGTAATCCCCTTGCAGCTTGGGTTAAGACAGCAGCGAAGTTCAGCTGAATGAACTGAGGCCAGACGTGAAGACGTCAGCTAATGAGCATAGCCTTTCTGAAGGAACGGGTAAGTGGAATCTCAACGCTGAAGAGAAGGGTAAGTGGAGTTTCAAGGCTGAAGAGAAGGAAGAGCCGCAGCTGCATGGGAGCAAGGTGACAGGCCATTGGTAGTTTGCAGGTGGAGGCTTCCCAGAGGGAACAGCCAAGAACGGTGGTCACCTGGGGTCTTCTTTAGTCTGAGACTGTCAGAGGGACTGTTTTCTGGGGTCCCTCTACCTGTCAAGACACCCATCCACCCCACCCCTGCACTGGGTGCCCGAGAGGATAGGAATATAGATTTTAATCATTGTGCTGCTGCTGTTAACCGGAATGCAGTTAATCCAGCCTTCGTGGATTTTGATGCCACAGTGTAAATAAGAAGGTTTAACACAGAAAACGCTCTCGGGCCGTAAGGGAGGAAAGGGCCAGGGACGGGTGGCAGAAGGAGAACGTGAGTGAGCAGGGGAGCGGGAAGCAGAGCCTGGGCTGGCTGGGTGTCTGCTCCTTCCCCATCACCACATTGCCATCAGGCACCCGAGGGGCATGGGTTCTTCCTGGCCAAGGCTGCCGACCTGGACCAGTCTATTTGAACCTGGCTGCCCTTCCAGTTCAGCAGGCCCTGCTCCAAGGCCAATTCTCGGTGAGCAGACCAGGGCGAGGGCAGGCCCATCGTTGACCGCCAAGTGGGGGAGGGATGAAGACCACGGGGGGGGGGGGAAGAGGGGTTTGGGACTCCATGCAATGCTTCTCCATCTTCCATCCCAAGGGACCCTCAAACTAGTTCAGAGCCAGGAAGAAGACAGTGATAGCAGCTGTCTTCTGCCTTAGGCACCACCTAGCCTGGACACTGGAGGAGGTGGGACTCACAGTGAAGGGAGACAGCAGGTACTTCTGTGCCTTTCTCTGCCCGAGCAGTCACGGGGGATTCTCTTCAAAGCTCAGTTGGGTTCCAGCTGGAGGCTGGTGAACTCATTCTGGACTTCTTATGGTTTCCTGGGATTGGTACAGTTTGGAGGTGGAGGGAGGTCACTCAGAGCCCCAGGGCCTGACCCCGTGAACTGCTGGCAGGAGCTGGCATCCTGGGAGTCGACCATTCCTCTTGTCGAGAGTGGGGTGATCTGGTTCGGGGCAAAGGTGCTGGGCCCAGGGACAGCTAGGAGTCAGAGACACACAGGGCTTCCACTGTGTCGCTCAGACCCTGGTTCACACCCCCCACAGCCAGGAGGCAGTTCTTGATGACAATGCTGGAGCAGGCACAGCGGGGCGTGGGCATGGGGGGTAGGACCTCCCATTTGTTCTTCCCTGGGTGGAACGCCTCCGCCGTCTCCAGGACAGTGGGTTGGTTCCCTGAAAGTGCCAAGGGAACCATCCTTACAAAGGAGTCCAGCCACCAATCCGTGCGCCACAGTGCCCCCACCTCCCTTGCTCTCTTTGGAACCCACAAGCAGAAGCCAAGGGACCTGAGTTCCTGGGGCACAGAGCTGTTCCTGGGCCGCAGAGCTGCTCGCTCCCTCCCTCCCTCCCCTGGGCTGTAGCTCTTGTCCGAAAGTTCCTTCACTCCTCTTGCCTTCTCTCCATCTTCTCATCTCCTCAGGAGTAAGGCTTTCTTTTCTCCACCCTCTGCTTCTGCCAGAAGTTTCTAGACTCTGCTGCTGCCTCTCTTTTGGCTTTTGCTAAAAAAGCTGTCCCCACGGTCTGGTTCACATCAAGCTCTTTTCATACTTGGGCAATGTGGGAATCTGTCCACACCGAGTGAACCCTGGGTGCCTGGAAGCCCAACTGCGCGTGGATCTCTCCCCTGTTGAAGTTGGGGTCCTGGCCTCAAGATACTACTGCTCTCTGGGAGGAGTAACACAGCAAGTCCCTGATGCATTTTCACAAGTCTATCTCATCAGACTGCTTTCCCATTCCGTGATGGAGCCGGGTATCCAGGGCGTAGCGCTGGCCAGAGAAAGAGGACCAAGCTAAGCCCTGCCATGCTTTTGTCTCCAGGCATTCCTGGATCGGGCCCCAGGGACCGGTGTTCTGCAAGCCTGCATTACATGGTTAGCATCATGTCCCTCATGCTTTCTTGGCCTCCGGTTCCCCAGTGTAAGAGGATGGAAAGACCACATCGGGGCCCGTGTGTGGACATGTAAGAGAGAGTGTTGAATTATTTGGGACAGAGTGGTCGGCAGCCTGTGTGCAAGCAGCCAGTACCTTCTCCTGCTCATGCAGAGTGCCAAGCGTGCGCCAGGCTCCAGAGCCACAGTAACAGCCCCGAAGCCCCATCCTTACCAAGCCCTCCGGCCACTATGACCCGTCCACTCAGAGAGCCGGCCACAAAGTCTGCCCGCCGCTTCTTGAGGAAAAACGAGCGTTCCATCTTCAGCCATCCCCCTGAGGCCACGGATCATGCAGGGTAAATTCAGAGAGAATTAGATGCTGGCGTCCACCACCAAGTACACACCGAGTCCCCCCAGCTCACACCAGAGGCAGACATCTATTCCATCTACCCTTAGTGCTCTGGGCATAAACTACGCCTCCTGCTGTTCGAAATGATGTGCTCCGGGGCCTCTCCCCTCTCCTCTGCTTGCTACAGTCCATAATCCCCTGCAGTGAATCACCTTGCTCTACCTCTGTTCTCATGGGCTCTGAGCTGGAGAGGAGGCTAACTAGAGGCAGCGAGCGAGCGAGCGTGGCAGTCGGGATCCTTGTCTGCATCAGTAAAAAGCAGGAAAAGCCCTCCCTCACCTGGCCCTGCCAGGGTGTTGTATGAAAAGAGATGGGAAAGGCTTGGAGAAAAATAACCAGGCAGCCAAGAGAAGCCCTGTCCAGATGAAAGCAAGAGATCCCAAGAATGGCCCTGAATGGTGAGGGCCGTCCAGACCTCTGAAAGACTCATCCCGCTGGGTCAGCGGCCCTGGGCAGGAGGGTGGCATGGGGGTGAGGTGTGTGTGGGGAGTCGGCCAGAGGGGTGGTGGGCAGCCAGAGGCCAGTGCCCTGCTCACCCTGCTCCATGTCGAACACGTCCATCGTCCGGAGGAACTTGGGCTGCCGGTAGAGCCGAGCCTGCCTCAGGCCTCCCAGGCTGTACAGCCGGTCATCTAGGGTCACAAAGCTGGAGAAGGCCCGCTTGCAGGGGATGTTGGGGAACTTGGTCCAGGAGCGAGTCTCGATGTCAAAGACCTCAAAGGCGTTCACTGCGTACTTGGACTGTCGTCCCCCTGGAGGCCAGAACTGGGATTGGAGGGGTGGAAGAGGCTGGGTTTCCCCCTGTGCCCATTCCCCCCAAAGGGATAGGGAGCTCCCTGAGGGCTGGGGCATCATGATTACCCCCCAGTGCCCAGGAGACGCTCAGCACACAGGCTCTGCTTCCCAGGGGGACTGACCCAAGGGAGGGAAGGAGAGACAGATAACTCATCCTCACCTAGCACATAGATCTTGGAGCCTCGGAGGAAGGAGGTTGCAGCGTATCTTGGGGTGGGCATGGGTGCTAGTGACACCCACATGTCCTTGAGCATGTCATAGTGTTGGAGATGGTTGTGTGGACGGAGGTCCAGGCCCATCCCGCCTGCTGCATACACTCGGTAGTCTAAGGAGAAAGGCCACACACAACCCCTGGCTCAGCTCATGGCCACTCTGAGACAGGCCCATCGGTAACCACCTGCTGGGCCAGGCTCCATTAACCCCCTGAACACCAGCACCAAGGCCAGGCCAGGCTCTCAACCACTGTTGTGCCAGACTGAGGTTGATGGAACCACGGAAAGTCTCTGGCAGGTTGAGCCCGGGTCTTCCTGAAGCCATGTCAGGCCGGCATGCCTTCATCTCCCTCGGTGTCCAGCCCTGGGCTGAGCCGCCCACAGGGTGGACCGTGATGGGGTTGAGGCCTGGACCACCCTTGTCCCCTCCATGGCAGCCAGAAGGGATGCCAAAGAGGAGGGGGTATTCCTCCAATGCCCATCAGCAGTGGCCTGTTCCTTAGGCATTCCCAGGTCAGAACTCTCTAGACCAGCTGGAGCCTTGGGAAATGAGGTCATCCCTGCTGTCGTTGGCCTTGTGGGATGCTGGACTGCTGCTGGTTCTCTCTGTCCTCAACCCCCATGGGGGACTGCCATCCTCCTTCACACACTGGGAGGCTTGTGGGCTCCAGAAGGCATCGTGTGCTTAGATGGGATAGGGTCAGGGGTGAATGTGGGTGAGGCCTTGAGGACACAAAGCTAGCCCCTTTAAGGAGCCCTGCCAGGGCAGGAAGCTGGGCACCCTGACAGGTGAGTTCTCTTCCATTTTCTGTTGCTCTTGGGGTGCTGAGAACCTTTCAAGGTACATTCCTGGCTCACTGCATCAGACAGGATGAGCAAGGCATCCGTGTTTCCCTGGGCCTCACCCCAGTGCCTCCTATGGCCTACCAGAGACACGGCTGCCCCTGCTCCCCCACCCCAGAGGCCACACTTCTTCCCGGGGACCCACCCCTGCCTGGGAATCTGTCTTCCAGTAGCCAGTCCTCACCGCTTCTGGCTCTAAGAGGCTTTTATTCTTCAAGAGAATTACAGGGATGAGTACTACTTCTTTCTATTCAGTACTACTTCTAGTCTTACTGAAAAAAGGAAAAAAAAAAAAAAAAAACAAACCCAGCAGTAGCCTGAGGTCAGGAGACTGGGCCTGCTAGTATTAGAAGGATTTCCCTTACACAAGCTCTGCCTCTCCTATCTGTGTGTCACCCAAAACACACCTCCAGCGGAGAACCCTTGGTCCACGCCACACACCACTGCTCCTATGCTGGCTCCTACTCATCCCTTCACATTCACCTGGGCGTCCCCCAACTGCAAAGCTGGGCCGAGAGCACTGGGTCGGTGCCTCCCACGGCACTGGCTTCACCCTATTTGCCAAACATTACCGAAATAATCCTTGTCTGCTTCTTCCAATACATTGTTAGAGAACTTGTTAATCTGAGGCACCAGCATCTGTTTCCATGCCCGACACACAGGCATGTGAAAGCTTATCAGACTAACTGCTAAACCCACTCAGGGCCACAGTGAAGAGCACGGGCTCCGTCACTACTCACTAGCAGTGTGACCTCGGACAAGGTACTCAAACTTGCTGGGACCCACACTGCTTCTAAATGAGGATAATCATAGCACTTACCTCATCAGTCAGGTTGTGAGACCAGAGGGGCTAAAATATATAAAGCACCTACGGTAAGGACTCAATAAATCTTTGTTCTTAATCTTTCAGCAGCATTTGTCGAGGCCTGAGGACAAAGGAATACCCTTTCCCTCTCTTTTTCCCCACGGGCCTCCAGGGTTCCCATCCTTCTCACCGAGAGTTCACGGAGGCCCCACCGGCCACTGCCCTGAGGGATTCTGGGTTAGAGTTTCTCACTGGTCACCTTCACCGGTCAGACCCAGACTGACCATTCTGAGAGCAGGGGCCAGGTCTTCTGCCTCTTTCCTTCTTCCCTGGGACCTAGAACTGTGCCAGGGACAGAGCGAGTGCTCAAGAAAGACTGGTTCCTGATCTACAGTAGACTCAACAGGCAAATGGGATGGTTTTGCAAGAGAGGGAGTGAGGGTTCCATCCCACCAAAGCTGTCCCAGTTGCATTTGGGGGTCTTCTAATTCCTGTTGGACCATTTCCCATAAAAATCCTTTGTGTTTCAGCAAAAGAGCTTTGGAGCCCCCTCCATGCTCTGGGCTGTACCAGGCCCAATGAGAAAGAAATGGGGCACTTTGAGAAAGAAGAGGCCAGATAACCTTGTGGTTAGCACACGCACAGCCCAAGATCTGTGAATCTGGAAAAGATGCTGCAGGAGTAGGACTCTCTGGAACATTCCAGTCTCCATTTCTTAGTATCTTTGAGATCAGGGAGGCAGAGGGAGAGGTTGAGCATAGTGGGAAAAAGGCCCTGGAGTGGGGCCTGAGGATGGTACACGGAGGCAGCGAACATCCCCAGGACCCCAAATACGCGTCTGGAGGTGGTGGCACCTCAAAGGAAAATTTCAGGGGATGAGCTGTTGTGGGTGGGAGGCTGTCACTCCGCTGAAAGAAGGGGGTCTGCAGAGACATTGCACCCAGCCTCCAGCTCTCCTCTTTGGCCAGGCCCACCCAGCCTGTTGGGAGGAGCCTGGTGGAGCGGAGTTCTGGCATCATATGGAATTACCAGACACTTGCCCTGCCGAGTCTGTTTTCCCATCTGCAAAGCAAGGCCGGTAGATCTTCAGTTTCAGGGTCTACTGTAGGGATCAGATGGGATCAGGACTGCGACAGTGCTCCCCAGCTCAGTGTCGGTCTCCATCCCTCCCCGCCCGTGACCCCCGCGCCCCTCTCCTCGCCCTCCCTCGCCCTCCCTCGGCCCGGCCCCGGCCCCGGCCCCGGCCCCGGCCCCACTCGCCTTTGGCGGTGACCGAAATGCCCATGGCGGCCTCGCGCAGCGCGCTCCTCCTCTTCCACTTGCCCTCGTCGATGTTGTACATCTCCACGACCTTCAGGGGCAGCTGGGTGGTGCCCACGCCCCCGATCACCATGATCCGCTTCCCCAGGGCGGTGGCGGCCACCCCGGCCCGGGCCGTGGGCAGGCGGGGCAGGGCGGTCCACCGGTCGGCCTCGGGGGAGTAGACCTCAAAGCAGTCCACGGGGATGCCGCTGTCGTCACAGCCCCCGATGGCATAGACCTGCCCCCCGCTCTCCAGCAGGGAGCAGTAGACCCGGCGGCTGGGCAGCGGCGCCAGGCGCTGCCACTGGAAGTCCTTGGCGCTCGGCACCTCCATGGCGGCCCCGGGGGCCGGGGCGCCGCGCGCTACTCCGCGCGCCCTGGCGCCGCCTCCATCCGGCTCCGGTCCGCCGGCTCCCGCCCGACCCCGGCCAGGGCCCCGACGCCGGGCAGCGCTTGCCAGGCCCTGCAGACTGCGCGGTGCGGCGGCGTCCGCGCCCGGCCCTGCGGGAGGGATGGGGCGCATCAAGGGGGGCCGGGGCCCCGCGCCCTCGCGCCGCCCGCCGCCCGCGGGCTCCCGGCTCCCAGGTCGCCGCCAACTTTAAAGCGAGGACGCGGCGGCCGAGGGCGCCCCCCTCCCCGCCCCCGCGGCGGCACCGCGCCCCGCAGCGCCGTGTGCCCCCGCCCCCCCCAGCCCCTCCGGGCGGGCGCGCGGGGCGGGGGCTTTCCGGGGCTCGCGGCGCCCGGCTGCCCCCCCGCGGAGCCAGGAGGGAACCCCGCTGCGCGCCCCCGCCCCGCCCCGCGCCACTTACACGGCCAGGCCCGGGGAGCGCGGCGCCGAGGCGCTCACAGCGCATCGGCCGGGAGCGGGGACCCCCGGGGCGGCGGGGCGCGGGGCACCGGGCGCGCTGTCCTTCCGCAGCCCGCACGCCGCCGTCACAGGCGGGCGAGGAGCAGCCGAGAAGGGGCGAGCGACGCGAAGGAGCAGCGGAGCCGCCCGCCCCGCCCCGCCCCGCCCCGCCCCGCCCGCAGCCGCCACACCTGCGCGGGAGGCCGCGTGCGCCCCGGCGCGGAGCGGGGTCGGGCCGTGACCTCTTTGCACAAGCGCCGGCGGCGCCCGCCCGCGGGGGAGGCTCGGGCCCGCCGCAGCCGCTCACCTTGTCCGCGGGGTCAGGGGAGGCGGGACGCCCGAGCCAGGAACCCAGCTGCCGGGGACCAGACCCCCGCACCCCCCCCCCCCGGCGTGGGGGTGGGCGGGTTGTGAGTGTGTGTTTGGGATGAGGAGGCGGAGAGCCCAATTACCCGGTTTATCTACCGTACACAGACCCGCTGGGGGTGGGGAGGGGCGGTACGGTCAAAGGGTTCCACCGAATAGAAACAAGTTCCATGGGTGCGACACGCGCAGACCTGACGCAGGTGCACCCAAACATAAGGTGGACACTGGCCTGCACGCCTCTGCGTGACTTAACGCATCACCCGGCCCTCTCCCACCTGGAAGCACACGGAGCAGCTGACAAATGCACAGATAGGTGGGTGTGTAACCAGAGACACCAACAGAGTTAGACGAACACATAAGCCATAAGCCCCCCCCCCGGGCCCCCCCCCCAATTCCATCCCTTCTTCACACACCTTGAGAAGGGGAAACCGGATAGTCCCTGCTGGCCCCCAGCAGCAGCCCGCGGGGCTTGCCTTATAGTTTTCTCATAGCCTTTTCACATCCGTAGGTCCCTGTTACAAAGCTGCCTGTGACACCAGTGGGCCACCTGACCTGATGGGCTGCAAAACCGGCGGGGTCCCCCTTCTCCTGGGCTCCCTTCAATATAGTCAGGTCTTGAAACACTCAGGCTTGGGAGTCTGACAGACCTGGGCTTGAATTCAGGCTCTGAACTTATTTAACTACGCTGAGACCCAATTTCCGTATATTATCATTTTAAGAAATATTTATTTATTTATTTATTTGTTTGTTTATTTATTTATTATTTGAGAGACAGCAAGCATGAGCAGGGGGAGAGGCAGAGGGAGCCCGATTTGGGGCTCAACTCCAGGACCTGGAGATTGTGACCCAAGCAGAAGGCAGATGCTCAGTCGGCTGAGCCATCCAGGTGGCCCTCATATTATTTTATCTTTTACTTGGAGATAAACTCTAGGTTTACATGCAATAGTAGGAAATAATGCCCTTTATCCAGTTTCCTTAGATGGTAACATCTTGCGAAATTTATAGTACAGTAGTATCACAACCAGGCTATGGAGATTGATCGGGGAAGGTACAGAACATTTCCATGCAAGGATTCTTCATGTTGAGTTTTTATACCCACACCTACTTCCCCCCTCCCCCCCCTTTCTCTCCAACCCCTGGCAGCTACTAATCTGTTCTCCATTTCTATAATTTAGTCATTTCAAGAATGTCATATAAATAGAATGGTACAGTATGTAACCTTTGGGGATGGACTACCCATACCCGTCCTGGCATAATTCATTGGAGATTCATCCAGGTTGTTGTATGCGTGCCAAGAGTTCACTCCTTTTTATGTCTCAATCATATTCCATTCTGTGGATGGATCCTTATACATTTTTGTGAAGATTAAGTGAGATACTGTTTGTAAAATCCTCACTTCAGTTTCTGACACATAGCGAGGACCTGGTAAATTGCCACGAATACCTTTATGACCAACTATTGTCAATAAAATGAAGAAAAAGAGAAATTGAAAGTAAGCGCAAACATTTTGTCCCTTGCTGAGAAATGACTTCCGGTGAGAAACAGGACTCACAATAGGCCCACCTTAATATCTTGGGTTTTTGGCTTAGAAATTCCACTGTTTCTTTTTAGTTTGAATTCTCTGTGCTTACAAAGTAAGCACCTCTAGAACCTTCAGAGGAAGGTTGTGTTCTGTTTTCTCTATTCAGTAAGAACTCATAAATTCCAAAAGAATGTGGTCTGAATTAATGAAGTTTTACCGGAAACACCAAACATTTCTCTTCTGTCCGGAGAATCACAATCTCCCCTGGGGACTCGGGAACAGACCTTCAACTCTAAACCTGAACTGTCTTCACAAAAGCAGCACAGGGTGATGAAGAAGACTGAGAACCAGAGGCCTTCCTCAGAGAGACTTGTTGGGGTGGGTCTTCAGCCTCTTTTGCCCACTGAGCCCTTTTTAAAAAAATTTTTATTTATTTATTTGTTTATTTATTTATTTATTTATTTATTTATTTATTTATTTATTTATTTATTTATTTATTTTAGAGACAGAGAGCCTGCACAAAGAGGGAAAGAGAATCTCCAGCAGTTTCCAAACTGAGCGTGGAGCCCGACCTGGGGCTTGATCTCACAGCCCTGAGATCACGATCTGAAATGAACTCAAGAGTCTGATGCTTAACCACCTGTACCACCCAGGCACCCCTTGCCTACTGAGCCTTTTACCAAAGTGTTGAGGCAGGGCTCCCTGTGCCCCACCCGTCCTGGTTGGGGCAGCTTTACTAAGCCTTTATGCAGTGTCCCATACAACCTTGTATTTGCAAAACTGGTTGAGCTAACCTAAGCCCTCACACATCCATTTTCTCATAACCTTTTTTTTTTAAGGGGGCTTTTTTATTTATTTTATTTTAAAAAATATTTTATTTATTTATTTATTCCTGAGACACACACACACACACACACACACACACAGAGACAGAGACACAGGCAGAGAGAGAAGCAGGCTCCATGCAGGGAGCCCGATGTGGGACTCGATCCCGGGACTCCAGGACCACGCCCTGGGCCGAAGGCAGGCACTAAACCTCTGAGCCATCCAGGGATCCCCATTTTCTCATAATCTTTAAAACAATCCTGGGAAAGGTGGCCCAGGAAAGGTACCTCACTATTACAGATGGGGAATCTGAGACTTAGTGAGATAAAGTAATGGACTTATGGCCACCTGAGGGTCTGGACCAGGGAGGTTCTGGTTTAGGAATTCCAAATCCAACACTCTTCCACTTTAACGGTTAAATCACAAATGAAAGAATTGTGTATCATTAAGGACACCAAACTTTTCCATTCACACGTGGCTTCCGGCCTTTTGTCCAATTACAGTGAAGGAAAGAGCCCAAACCCCCCAAAGGGTTCCAGCTCTCGCCCATTGCCAGACTGTGTGCTGGGCAGCATCGCTGGGAAAGGTCTGGAACGCAGCCCCCGCGTGGGCCTCACTCTAGCCTAAGGCTCATGTTTTGGAGGCACCACCCTCTTGTGAGGACCACGGGATCTAGAGACTCAGACCCTTGGAAAAGTACTAGGAACAGGATGCCTTTCAGACCATGGCCTAATTGCTTGTTCTAGAAGTACTGGCTTTTCTCCATCTCCCCCACTCCTTCCCCCTTGGCTCTTCCTCTCAGCCAGGTGACATCCTTTCATCCTTACATTGAGTGCACATTGAGGAAACTTGTAACCTAGCAACCGCCACTTAAGATTCCCTGAGTCACGGGCGGTTTCCAGGCCTGGGCAGAGTGCACCAAGCCGGGGCCTTAAGGAATGCCGAGCAGAGGCAGGGAGTCCAGTGACCCCTTTGCTGCCTCACCACCGGGCTCTAGAATGGTGGCCACTTTCCCTGTCGGCGGTACCTTCTTCCTCATGTTAAACCTAAACCCTTTTTACTCTGAGACCTTGCATTGCATCAGCCCTGGTTGCTCTTGTCTCTTAAAAAGTGTTTGACTTTCTGCCTTGGTTACAACATGGCATGGGGAGGGTGGGGATGGACGCCCCTAACAATAAAGCCTCTGGTACCCTGGAGTCTTTCTTACTGTGACATTGCTGCATCAGACTTGAAGGGGTGCTCAGCTCCAGAGAAAGCCACTCAGTATTTTTTTGTCTGAAGTCACACCTTGGGTTTCTTAAGGCCTATTTGATTTTTACTTTTCAAAAAGATTTTATTTATTTGATGGAGAGAGTGAGAGAGAGCTCACAAGCAGGGGGAGCGGCAGAGGGAGAGGGACAAACAGGCTCCCCCCTGAGTGCAGAGCCCATGCGGGGCTTGATCCCAGGACCCTGAGAGCGTGACCTGAGCAGATCTCTTAACTTGACTAAGCCACCCAGGTGCCCCTTAAGGTCTATTTTAAATATAATAAAATGCATTGTAGCATTTGAGTTCATTAGGTACAGCAGGGGCCTGCCTAGCCACTACTTGGGGTAGGTCATGGGCAAAGGAGGGGCGGGGTGGGAGACTAGCTGCTTCCCCGTAGCTAGCAGGGTCCCAGCGTGGTAGGCTGCGGATGGAGGAGCCGTGCAGGGCCGCAAGGGACTGACAGAGCTGCAGGTGCAGGGCGTGTTGGGGGCGGTGGGCAAGAGCTTTTTAGTTAGTAGAAGCTGGA